ACACTTTAAGAATAAATAAAGAACAATTTTTGTCCATTGTTTCATCAAGTCGGAAATTTGTAAACTGTTGAATGCGGATTTCTAAACATCCCTTTCGAGCCCTCTTGTCTCCAGTCTCCATGCTAAGCTAACCAGCGGCTGGCTGTAGCTTCACGTTGAGCGTGCAGACTCATGTCTGGTACGGATGAGTATCGTTTGGGTTTTTCCGATACCGATCCTAAACAGAGCCTGAACCCAAACACAATTGAAGAAAAGTTTTTTTTCACTTCAAACTATGCACAATATATGAACTTTTGAAAGTTTACAGTATGATTACAGTGTTTCCCCTCTGTAACAGCGGAAGTGTAGTTAATTGGAATTTGGGGAATATTAATCATTTAATTTGAGATTCATGTTCATTGTGCAGGAACTAAAGACATTTATTGAAAAGCATTTACGTTAGATTGACGCTCCTCGTTTGTCTCAAAGTATTGACGTGCAACACAGAAGAGCTGCATGAGGCACGAGAGCACATCGCTTTTCTATTGTGTAGAAAAATAAATACGAATAGAAGGTAGATGGCTAGCTAGCTGCTGTAGGTACACAAGCGGTGAGCTATCGTTAGCTGCTGCGAGGACAGTTATCAGACTGTTTAATTAGGGTGACCAAACGTCCTCTTTTCCCCGGACATGTCCTCTTTTTGAGACCTAAAAAATCCTTCTCTGGGTCTTTCACAAACTGGTTATTACGCCCTTACAAGTTTTGGAAATGGTGTCTCCCTTACGTTCCACCTTCTTTCGCGAGCTCTGACTGTAGAGAGAACAGTCATTGGTCGACCGATCTCAATGTTGCCAGATACACGATAATTATCCTCCAAATACGACCATTTTGAGCCTTTGGTACGATACTTCACCATTTCCAATCTGGCAACACTGAGCACTTTGCCGCCTCCACTAGTTGCATTGTTTACAGCACATCTGCAGCCGTGCCGAAACGTAAATGTAAGTTTACGGACGAACTAAAAGAAAATACCCATGTTTTCGCCTCGGCCGTGATGCTTCGGAAGCTTTTCTTATTTTAATATGTGGCTATATAAAGTATTTACTATTTAGTATTTGTTTATTTGTTATCATTATTGCTTCAATATATGGACAAGACACATTAAAGAAGCGCTGGACTAAATCTCACAAAAAAAGATTTGTTTTACATTTGCACTTTTCAGTTTTGTTAAAGTTCAATAAATAGATGTTCATATAGTCATTTGTGTCATTTTTGTCATTTCAATTGTGACATTTGTATGCATTCACATGGTCATGGTACGGCATGCTATACACTAACCCCCCCCCCTCTCCGCGACGAAGTGTCCTCTTTTTCACAAACTCAAATCTGGTCACCCTAGTTTAATTCAAGTTTTTCAATCGGCTCAGGCACCGAAAGCAAGCACCGAAATCCGAGGGGCTTTCCGGTACTTACCGGTAGTTACCGGTCGTGTGGGCACCAATATGGCACCGGTGCTCGGTACATAATCCTACATGAGAGTGGTCAAATCAACTATTGCTAAGTAAAGGTTTGGAATAGCTCAAATTCAACGAACAATATCTATTTAACTCTCATTCATTACCAAAACAGCTGGGCATGCATGGTGTAGTCTTTGGCACTGCGTTTATTGGAGGCTGTTTAAGACCTAGATGAGAAAAGTGCCCCTTCTGCTGGAGCACAATTGTTTCTTCATTCATCAATATTTTAGAATAACTATTACTCGCACTGTCATCAAATCCCCCCAAATGTGTTTTGACATTCGACGGGGCATTTATTTGAGTTCTTGTGAGAATTTAACCGAACTGCTCCGCGGCGCCCACAAGCCGCGCTCCTTCCTCCTCCTCCTCCTCCTCCTCCGCCTAGTGCTCGTGCAGTGCTGACACACAGGTGATGACGGTGTTTGTGAAATCCCCCGACGTTGTTTAGTGGTAAACTACTACCACTAACCATTAACTGTTTTGTTTAATATACAATTGTTGAAATGAAAGGTAGGTCCTAAGTTGAGCTACATGACAGTCTGGTGAGGTATGTTGTGGTATATTAACGCTGCTTATGCTTCAACACAAAACAGTACAAAAACATTTTGTGTGTCGTCAGCTTTTTATTATTATGCACAACATTGTTTATCTCATTTACAAAAGACTCTAAAAGCAGAAGGACAGGGAAAATATCCTACTGTGTTTTTATTTATTTATTTTATTAGTGTTTTTAATTTCATGAATAATTTTGGCGATGGGTGCCCTTTTGTTTTGGTTTGAGCACCTGCCCCCCAAAATGTCTGTGCACGTGCCTCCAACAGTACTTACAGGTTTCGTTCAGCATGATAAATCTATACAATTGAAAACGTATCACATTAATGTTATGATTTCTCAAGCGTGAATGCAATCGCATTTTCTAAAGAAACATTGGAAACGCATAGACTACGAGAGTAAAGTAACTGGAAGGTTTAAAAATGTCAATTAGTTTCTATGTTCAAGGACCAATTCACTCGACTCGCTTTTCTTTGCTTCCCTCCGGTGGTCACAGAGACGAACTGCAATATTATTCTCAACACGCTACACAGATTCATGTGTTCATGCGGATAATACTTTCAAAATGCACTTACCAAATTGAAGGAATCGGACTAAACTAGCTCAATCTTGAATTTTTTTTCAAGTCGTAAATACATAGTGTCATGCAGCCATTTCCACTGAGAGCGTTAGGAATACAATGAAAAAAGCAGAATCCTCTAAAAAATAAACATACCTAGACATTGGGTGCAATAATAATGTATTGAAGGGCCATTATAGCTTAATGATTATTCTATGTAAACCATCTAGAAAAACTAAATAGAATGTTACCTGATGCAACGTTACTGTTGTGATTTGTTTTAGTTTGGAGCATTAGGGTCGTCTTAAGCCAACTGTACACATATTGTGAATTAGTGACTTTTCTTGTACATACAAAAGGTCATTGATTATGAAATAGATATTCTTAGCGTTACGTTTGACCGAAATCTAAATCACGTGCCTTCTTGTGATCAAAAAGAATTGCGGTCCAGTTGCGTGCGGACAGTGCAGACAGTGTCCATCCGGTAAGTGCTTTCAAAATAATGTTCTCAAACTGAAGCAATCAAAATAAACTTGTCCTTATTTAATCGTATGTCTAAATATTAATCCTCCATCATCATTTAAAATCAGATGTTAGAACGCATTGTATTTGATGTAATATACTGTATGTATAGATATGGTCACATTCCACCACTAGAGCTTTAAAAATACAGCGAAAAACTGAACAGAACGAAATGTTCTGACAGGAAATGACTATTGATCAAAATCCCAATAATGCGTTTTTACTCCTTTCTAGTGGTCAGAGAGAGGAGCTGCAATATTAACGTCTTCTAATGGGCTTTACAGACACCTGCGGGAATATTTTCATTCAGTTACAAACCGAAGCCATCTGTTTACAATATCAAATAGTGGTGAGGTCATTGTGTGTCTTCATACTGATACTAGTTATGTAGTTTTTTTCAACGGTATTAACCAAGAACAAGTATATGCGTTGGGACTAATATTATTTATGTCAAGATTATATGGTACAGAAGCGACAGCCCACCACCATTTACGGTGAGTACTTTCAAAATAGCTTTGGAACAATGTTCAAAAAGCATCAATAAAAGTACCATTGGGTACATGGATATATTGATCAAGCACAGCACACGACACAAACAGCCTCTGCCCACGGGGGCGGGGGGGGGTTGTATTTCTGTCCATTGTAAAAAAAAACAGGAGGTACAAACATGCATTTGTTAATTAAACTGAGCAAATTTTATATTTACTGCTAATACATCATTTTGTTCTTCCGCTCTGATGTGAAATAAACAAGAGCGGAAAATGTAAAATGAGATGAAGAAAAAGGTTTTGCCTGGTAACGGAGTTTACCTTGTCATCCGGCCTTTCACAATAAGACTTCCTGCATACACCTCTGAATAGTGCAATAAAAGCTCTTTCTTCGTCGCCCCAGCACGACCAAGTCTTACTACTTTCTCTCATCAAAGTAACTTTTTGCAGTACTTAGACATGTAAATTACGTTTAGTTATATTATATAGTTTATCACTATATAATAATTTTTACTTGTATGGTGACGAACCATTTAACTTCATGCCCCCTCAACGGTAAAACATATTAATTAATACATGAATTTAGTATTTAGTAATAGAACATAATAAATAAAAAATGACAACTAGATGTGTTAATGATTGTCTTGAACATCAACCCCGAGAACAAACCTTCTGATTCGTTGGCTGATTTTAGTCACTAAAGATGGTTGAGATCAAGTTACCATTAACATTGGAGTGAGTAAATTATCCTATTAGAATATTTAGAATATGTCATTTTGGGAGCAGTTAACACACATTTGTCTGATCCGTTTTTTTTATCATATTTATTTATTCATCTATCTAAACTGTAGGACTGTTGAATGGCCGCAGCTCCCATCCTGCAGCGTGGCGGTTCATTGAGTTTCTGATTGACAGCGTGGGAGAGAAGATGTTGTCTGTCGTCCAGCAGCAGAGAGAACGAACAGACATTCGTAACTCTGGAGTTGCACTTGACTGCGTCATTAGAGACGCTCACACGTCCGATGAACTTGGGGTTTGAATTTGCTTTATTTGGAGGGAATTGAACTTGTTTGTGCTTTGAGTTGCCTGACTTCATTTTTTAGAAGCATTCATGTTTTATTCAAAATGTTCCATATCGGAAACATGTTCATTGACTAAATATTCTCTTCTTCTTCCGCCTGATGTCTGATTACAGGAGGAAGTGAGTCAACAATTGAAATCAGGCTTAAAATGTCGACTGAAACCTTTGTGTGTCATTAAATACACAAACGCTCATTAACTCAAGATCATTGTTGTTTCACTTCATTCAAGTCAACGAAAAATAAAGAACATGTGATTCTCTTTGGTCTGAAGAAAACAAGACGGATTCATTTGGGTTTTTTTTAATCAAAATTTATTTTCATTGTTAAAATAATAAACAGACGACATGATTAACAATAATAATAACACAATCATTGGGAAAACACCTGAAGCAGTTCCTGAGAAGAGAGAAAAGAAGAAATGTTATTAACATGTTAATGTTGTTGGTGTGTCTGTGTGTACATCTAATTGTTAGTGTGTCTGTGTGTACATCTTAATGTGTAGGGGTTGACGTGGCGTCCTGATGGCATCCTGATGACGTAGCGTCCCGATGACGTGGCGTCCTGATGGCGTCCTGATGGCGTCCCGTTGGTCTGCAGACAAGGAGAAGAGACGTGAGGAGGATCATCAGGATGTGTCTGTGTGTACATCTAATTGTTAGTGTGTCTGTGTGTAGATCTAAATATTAATATGTCTTCGTGTACATCAAAATATTAGTGTGTGTCTTTGTGTACATCTAAATGTTAGTGTGTGTCTTTGTTTGGAACCAAATGTTAGTGTGTCTGTGTGTTCATGTAATTGTTAGTGTGCCTGTGTGTACATCTAAATATGAATGTGTCTTTGTGTACATCAAAATATTAGTGTGTGTCTTTGTTTAGAACCAAATGTTAGTGTGTCTGTGTGTACATCTGTGTGTGTGTGTGTGTGTGTGTGTGTGTGTGTGTGTGGGTGTCTGTCATGAGTAGATCTGGATTTGCTCCTGAGGGGTTGACGTGGCGTCCTGATGGCATCCTGATGGCGTCCCGATGACGTGGCGTCCTGATGGCGTCCTGATGGCGTCCCGTTGGGCTGCAGACAAGGAGAAGAGACGTGAGGAGGATCATCAGGATGTGTCTGTGTGTACATCTAATTGTTAGTGTGTCTGTGTGTAGATCTAAATATTAATATGTCTTCCTGTACATCAAAATATTAGTTTATGTCTTTGTTTAGAACCAAATGTTAGTGTGTCTGTGTGTATATGTAATTGTTAGTGTGTCTGTGTGTAGATCTAATTGTTAGTGTGTCTGTGTGTACATCTAAATGTTATTGTGTCTTTGTGTACATCTACATATTAGTGTGTGTCTTTGTTTAGAACCAAATGATAGTGTGTCTGTGTGTACATGTAATTGTTAGTGTGTCTGTGTGTAGATCTAATTGTTAAGTGTGTCTGTGTGTACATCTAATGGTTATTGTGTCTTTGTGTACATCTAAATATTAGTGTGTGTCTTTGTTTAGAACCAAATGTTAGTGTGTCTGTGTGTACATTTATGTGTGTGTGTGTGTGTGTGTGGGTGTGTGTGTGTGTGTCATGAGTAGATCTGGATTTGCTCCTGAGGGGTTGACGTGACGTCCTGATGGCGTCCCGTTGACGTGGCGTCCCGATGGCGTGGCGTCCTGATGGCGTCCCGTTGGTCTGCAGACAAGGAGAAGAGACGTGAGGAGGATCATCAGGATGTGATACAAGATTCATGTGTACATCTACATGACAACAGCAGGAATCAGATGTTTATCTCAAGGTATTAGCTCTAAATCACAGCCTTCTCCACCCGATAGACCAATACATCATTCACAGCAGTAAGGCTGCAGTCTGTCTGGATTCCTCACTTACCTTGAGCTCTGTTGAGTGCAGCAGAACGCGTCTTCGTCCCCTCTACAGACTCCTGAGGCATTACATGGTTGCTTTCTGCAAGTGTAGGTCCGGAAAACAGTGTGTAGATGCGAGGTTTGAAACTGACTGACTGGATGTGCAACAGACTGTGTTTCTTATGCTGTGGTGAACGGAGCATAGAACATGGAACATGGAACATGGAGAAATGTTCCATCATGATGTAACGTCTCTATGGTTACAGTGAAGGTATCCACATTATGCAAATGAGCCATTAGAGAAAATGTGTGTGTGTGGACGGTGTATTTGTATTGATGAAGCTCATCCACTTAACATGGTGCATAAAACACTTTGCTCTACTTGTTTTTTTCTATGACCCCATCTTGATCTTAAAGGCAAACACTTTAAGAATAAATAAAGAACAATTTTTGTCCATTGTTTCATCAAGTCGGAAATTTGTAAACTGTTGAATGCGGATTTCTAAACATCCCTTTCGAGCCCTCTTGTCTCCAGTCTCCATGCTAAGCTAACCAGCGGCTGGCTGTAGCTTCACGTTGAGCGTGCAGACTCATGTCTGGTACGGATGAGTATCGTTTGGGTTTTTCCGATACCGATCCTAAACAGAGCCTGAACCCAAACACAATTGAAGAAAAGTTTTTTTTCACTTCAAACTATGCACAATATATGAACTTTTGAAAGTTTACAGTATGATTACAGTGTTTCCCCTCTGTAACAGCGGAAGTGTAGTTAATTGGAATTTGGGGAATATTAATCATTTAATTTGAGATTCATGTTCATTGTGCAGGAACTAAAGACATTTATTGAAAAGCATTTACGTTAGATTGACGCTCCTCGTTTGTCTCAAAGTATTGACGTGCAACACAGAAGAGCTGCATGAGGCACGAGAGCACATCGCTTTTCTATTGTGTAGAAAAATAAATACGAATAGAAGGTAGATGGCTAGCTAGCTGCTGTAGCTACACAAGCGGTGAGCTATCGTTAGCTGCTGCGAGGACAGTTATCAGACTGTTTAATTAGGGTGACCAAACGTCCTCTTTTCCCCGGACATGTCCTCTTTTTGAGACCTAAAAAATCCTTCTCTGGGTCTTTCACAAACTAGTTATTACGCCCTTACAAGTTTTGGAAATGGTGTCTCCCTTACGTTCCACCTTCTTTCGCGAGCTCTGACTGTAGAGAGAACAGTCATTGGTCGACCGATCTCAATGTTGCCAGATACACGATAATTATCCTCCAAATACGACCATTTTGAGCCTTTGGTACGATACTTCACCATTTCCAATCTGGCAACACTGAGCACTTTGCCGCCTCCACTAGTTGCATTGTTTACAGCACATCTGCAGCCGTGCCGAAACGTAAATGTAAGTTTACGGACGAACTAAAAGAAAATACCCATGTTTTCGCCTCGGCCGTGATGCTTCGGAAGCTTTTCTTATTTTAATATGTGGCTATATAAAGTATTTACTATTTAGTATTTGTTTATTTGTTATCATTATTGCTTCAATATATGGACAAGACACATTAAAGAAGCGCTGGACTAAATCCCACAAAAAAAGATTTGTTTTACATTTGCACTTTTCAGTTTTGTTAAAGTTCAATAAATAGATGTTCATATAGTCATTTGTGTCATTTTTGTCATTTCAATTGTGACATTTGTATGCATTCACATGGTCATGGTACGGCATGCTATACACTAACCCCCCCCCTCTCCGCGACGAAGTGTCCTCTTTTTCACAAACTCAAATCTGGTCACCCTAGTTTAATTCAAGTTTTTCAATCGGCTCAGGCACCGAAAGCAAGCACCGAAATCCGAGGGGCTTTCCGGTACTTACCGGTAGTTACCGGTCGTGTGGGCACCAATATGGCACCGGTGCTCGGTACATAATCCTACATGAGAGTGGTCAAATCAACTATTGCTAAGTAAAGGTTTGGAATAGCTCAAATTCAACGAACAATATCTATTTAACTCTCATTCATTACCAAAACAGCTGGGCATGCATGGTGTAGTCTTTGGCACTGCGTTTATTGGAGGCTGTTTAAGACCTAGATGAGAAAAGTGCCCCTTCTGCTGGAGCACAATTGTTTCTTCATTCATCAATATTTTAGAATAACTATTACTCGCACTGTCATCAAATCCCCCCCAAATGTGTTTTTGACATTCGACGGGGGCATTTATTTGAGTTCTTGTGAGAATTTAACCGAACTGCTCCGCGGCGCCCACAAGCCGCGCTCCTTCCTCCTCCTCCTCCTCCTCCTCCGCCTAGTGCTCGTGCAGTGCTGACACACAGGTGATGACGGTGTTTGTGAAATCCCCCGACGTTGTTTAGTGGTAAACTACTACCACTAACCATTAACTGTTTTGTTTAATATACAATTGTTGAAATGAAAGGTAGGTCCTAAGTTGAGCTACATGACAGTCTGGTGAGGTATGTTGTGGTATATTAACGCTGCTTATGCTTCAACACAAAACAGTACAAAAACATTTTGTGTGTCGTCAGCTTTTTATTATTATGCACAACATTGTTTATCTCATTTACAAAAGACTCTAAAAGCAGAAGGACAGGGAAAATATCCTACTGTGTTTTTATTTATTTATTTTATTAGTGTTTTTAATTTCATGAATAATTTTGGCGATGGGTGCCCTTTTGTTTTGGTTTGAGCACCTGCCCCCCAAAATGTCTGTGCACGTGCCTCCAACAGTACTTACAGGTTTCGTTCAGCATGATAAATCTATACAATTGAAAACGTATCACATTAATGTTATGATTTCTCAAGCGTGAATGCAATCGCATTTTCTAAAGAAACATTGGAAACGCATAGACTACGAGAGTAAAGTAACTGGAAGGTTTAAAAATGTCAATTAGTTTCTATTTTCAAGGACCAATTCACTCGACTCGCTTTTCTTTGCTTCCCTCCGGTGGTCACAGAGACGAACTGCAATATTATTCTCAACACGCTACACCGATTCATGTGTTCATGCGGATAATACTTTCAAAATGCACTTACCAAATTGAAGGAATCGGACTAAGCTAGCACAATCTTGAATTTTTTTTCCAAGTCGTAAATACATAGTGTCATGCAGCCATTTCCACTGAGAGCGTTAGGAATACAATGAAAACAGCAGAATCCTCAAAAAAATAAACATACCTAGACATTGGGTGCAATAATAATGTATTGAAGGGCCATTATAGCTTAATGATTATTCTATGTAAACCATCTAGAAAAACTAAATAGAATGTTACCTGATGCAACGTTACTGTTGTGATTTGTTTTAGTTTGGAGCATTAGGGTCGTCTTAAGCCAACTGTACACATATTGTGAATTAGTGACTTTTCTTGTACATACAAAAGGTCATTGATTATGAAATAGATATTCTTAGCGTTACGTTTGACCGAAATCTAAATCACGTGCCTTCTTGTGATCAAAAAGAATTGCGGTCCAGTTGCGTGCGGACAGTGCAGACAGTGTCCATCCGGTAAGTGCTTTCAAAATAATGTTCTCAAACTGAAGCAATCAAAATAAACTTGTCCTTATTTAATCGTATGTCTAAATATTAATCCTCCATCATCATTTAAAATCAGATGTTAGAACGCATTGTATTTGATGTAATATACTGTATGTATAGATATGGTCACATTCCACCACTAGAGCTTTAAAAATACAGCGAAAAACTGAACACACAGGGATAGATATTCAAGTTGAAATCCTATACACTCGACTGCCCCTTTTGAAATGGACTTAACATTAAGCAAATATATGCTTATAACTAGTTAATATTAGCTAGCTATCATTGAGAGTTACTAGCAAACTTATCGTGGCATGAACTGTCTTTTGAGGTTCGTCGTGTTTTTCCCACTGATTTTAAATCGCATGATTTATCTCCAGTTATTACGGTGCATTGGGTTTTGTTTTCCGTCACCATAAATTTGAAGTGTGTCCAAATAGCTTTCATGCAATGTTGAACCAGTCACTAGGGCTTCACTTGCAAGACTGGGCATGTCAGGGAAGGCGTGGAGTGTGGATACAGGACCCGGCAACATTCAACCAATGATGTTAGGTGCATGCAAATTTAGGAAAAAAAATTTGCGTGACTTCGTCAAAAAACAACATTTTCGTCTCGTCTCGTTAACAAAAGTTAAAATAGATTTAGTCATAGTTTTTATTTTCAAAGATACATTTTCGTCAACGGTATTAACACTGCTTCTCATAGACTGTCTCACGGCTGTTCCTCCAATTGTCTCAGACACTGTCCCGGGACTGTCTCACAGACAGTCTCACACACTTTCTCACACAATGTATCACACACTGTCCCACCAACTGTCTTACAGACTTTTCACAGACTGTCTCACACTGTGTCCCGCGAATGTCTCACGACTGTCTCACACACCGTGTTAGGCATTGGATATATACGGTTGTCTCTCCTCTTAAAGACGTTGAAGGCTCGGCCCACGCGGCTGAAGAACTTCTAGATACTGGTTCTCGGATCACCGTGATTCATGTTGATGCAATCTTCAACTTCCACGTCCCCCAATATCAAGCAGAGCAGCACATCTGCTCTACCAACCTTCATCTTGTACAGCTCATTGTAAATCTTCTCGTGCAAGTTCTTGAAGGATTTTAGTTTGACATCAAAGTCTACGTCCTTGACTTTTTTATTATTAGTTATTGTTTTGTGTTAAAGAAGACCGCTTTAGAGCCAACCTTATTTTCTCATTTGGTAATTTCTTAATTTATATGATCATGGTGGCCTTGGTTGCGTATGCCAGTGCAGCTTTCTTTGGTTAAAAAAACAGCGGCCCCTTTTACGTTGGTTATTTTGAGCTGTTAAAAATGTGTGATATGTCAGTTCGGCCTTTTTCAACTTAGAAATGTGTATATTTCTGTTGTGCTTTAGTAATGGGCAGTGAGTAATGGGAAATCTTCAAGACTGGTGTCAGGTTTTTTTGTGAGAATCAAGGTATTAAAGATAAATGGTTATTCTTGGTATCCTGTGTATTCTTTTGGGTCTAGAGCAGAGGTCTTCAACAGGGGGTCCACGGAGGTACTGCAGGGGAGTCGCGAAATTCTTGGTTGCAATTTTTTTTCCCCAAATTTAAATGTCTTCAATATCAGAATTGTATTTATTGTCTTTATTGTTACACATTAACATAAATCCAACATATTGTGGCGAACGGATAAATTAATGGAGAAGACATTATCTTTCAGTCCGCAAAACACACATCCAGCTTCTCACAGCAGCTCTCAAGCTGGGCACCGGTTCACTCACAGCTCCTTTCATGCTGATACAACAGCACAGGCACCAGCCAATCAGATCACCATCATGCTCACGTAAAAGGGCAAAGCTCAAAAATAAAAGATGGCGGACGAAACTCTGTAGAATAGGGGGTCCCTGCTCCATCTCGCCATCAGTTTGGGGGTCCTTGGCCTGAAAAACGTTGAAGACGCCTGGTCTAGAGGAACTATAATGAAAAAGTTTGAGAATTTACTGTAAAAAATAGTGTGCTTTCCTGTATATTATTAAGCAGCCGTCTTGTTTTTTTTATCAACTACAATACATCGGTGGGAGAACATTTCTCACGATATCGGTGATATTGATTAACTATCCAAGTCCATGAGCCCAAAACCCTTTTCTTAAAAACAATTAGCCTTTTCTGCTTCTAGATGCTGAAGTCACGATTGTGTTTGTTGCCTTGTTGTCATCCAGCTTTGACAACAACAGGGCAGAAGGGAAGTTAGAGGGCACCGACACGCAGGGAGGCATGATTGCCAAAAGCGGTGGACTGGTTTAACAATTTCAGGCGTTTAGGTTTGCACAAGTTACATTACCTCCCACTTCTAAATTCTCTGCGTTGTCCTCCATTGCTTTGACAGTTTTAATTTTTGCCACAACCAGACGGTTGGTAAAAGCATTTGGGTTTGGCGAAGCGGAGAGAGACAGCGATGGCACCGGAGGCCATGAAGAGACCAGAAGGTAATAATAATAATTGTTGGCGCACATTTAAGTTGTTTTGTACTCGTGTTTTCCGGCGAATTGTTTGTGTCTTAAAATAAAAATAACTTACTTTCAAAAACTTCTGAACTTAACATCGGATATGTCAATCCATTTATTTATAACAAAAATAACAAACAATTCGGTTCCCAATCCGCCGTGCCTCACGGTCAAAAGTTATCTGCCTCGCTGTGCGCCACACCTGCACTAATTAGCCCTGGCGTTAAATAGGCTGGTGGCAAAAACAGCGCCATCCCATTGCAGTATTCAGAATGGCTCCAACAATAATAATAATAATGAACCTCTGCAGACAAGAAAAGTCCCACAGACCCGTCTTCTGGATAAGTAATGCAACTTCCTGAGAACACATGCATGGACCAGAAGTCACCGGGAGCCAAACAGGAAGAGAACATGAGTGGCTGATAATTTGTGGAAATGGGCTGAATGGGGAAGAATTTTTACACGAAGAGAAAACCAGAGACCTCAAACGTAACGAGCATTGTTGAAGCCGTTTAACAGAGATGTTTCCCTGATCTAAATCCCACAAAAGGTTTGATATTGTTACATATTAGTCATTTTGACTGCATAGTAAATACATTCTGTTCTCCCCTGACATCAGTAGCGTTTGACTCCTCCCTCTGGTGGAAAAGACCATTACACTGAAATGCATCAGAAAACCACCAAGTTTCATTTGGAGATGAACGTAACAGAGACCGCGAAGCAGTGTGTCTTGGCATTACAACGGTTAATCTGGAGAAATATAACTTTTATTTTGAGTGTGTTCCATAGCAGATACAGTTGGCGCAGACTGGAGTTCACCAACTTTGGATCATAGTAACGTTAGCTAATTTGATTTTAATTAAAATCTTAAATTCATCAGGGAAAGACTATGCAGGTGCTTGGAGCGATAAACTAAAACACAACGTTAAGAAATATAACTTTTCTGTTAAGTGTGATCTGCATCGCTTAATCTCCATACCGCCGTTTTTTTGTCGGTGGTAGCGGGTTAAGCGGCACTCGCTAAAATGACATCGATAGTCCACCAAATTAGCCAACGCCAGAGTACAGACTTCTTAGCTTGCCTCAGGACTGACTGTGTACCCAGTGAACGGCAACAGTAATTTAACATCATTACAGTAATTGTTTGATTACTCGTCTGTTTTGAAATAACAGTATTTTTTATCCTAATGAACATAATACACATCCCAGGAAACGTATTATCGCATTTCATCCATTATTTCAAATGACTTCTGTCATTGAAATAAACGAGTGTGCGATGGGTTTGAGGTCCGCTGACAGAGAAGAAGTCGTGACCTGAAGGTTGAGTCAAAACAAACCAACAGTACCTTTCTGAGGCTGAACGATTCCAGGTGGTGTGAAGAGGGCCTGACGGGGGGAGATGACGGCTCTGGAAGAGACCCGGCTCATGGACACTCTCCTCGTTATCAGGGAAGAAATGAACCATCAAAGGAGTCGTGAGACCCACTGATTCTTCCCCAGGTGATGGCAAGATGGAGCGCGGCATGAAAGCTTTTACTTGCTGCTTCAGACAGCGATGAATGGCTCCGTGTCATGAGGGTGAGTCAGCCTTTGTCTCCCGATGCTTTATGTGCATATTCATGAGGGTTCTTTTTAAAGAAGGAGATGCATGGCAGAGCATGGAAATCTCTGAGTTTATCTTGGGATATTGTTCAGGATATAAATGGCCAACTTTGACCTTTGACCTTACCTTCCTCGCCAGAGTGCGTGAGGTGCAAAAGTGTCCAATTTCTAATCCAAAATGCGACATCGCAGGAGAATTGGAGATTATGCAAGTGGAGGCGATAAAAGCAATAAGCCCTGCTGCTGCTGACAACGTAATATCTTTTCCTCCTCTTTGAAATGCACTTAGAGCGGCCATTACTTTGAATATGGTGATGCAGGGACGTTGGCTGCCGGCCTTAATCTAACTCAGAGGCCAGGTAATATAATAGCTGTGTCAGATTAAGGGACGGCCGGCACGTACGCAGGCCCCAAAACCTCAGGGCCCAGGTGGCCTCTGTTTCACGCACACAGACATCAACTGCGCCATTTTTATAACAATGTGCTTTTATGAAGTTTATCTCTTTTTTCACTAGAGATAAATCGTACAACACACAACCCTCTAAAAAAACACACAGACGCACAAACAAACACACCCAATGTCACAGCTGCACAACTAATGGACCAAAGCAAATAGGTTAACTTTTTTTTTTTTCTTGATTTATAGAAGTAACACACAAACCGCATTAAGACAACTGCACACTATACGTTAAACAAATCCAATCTTACAACATTACAAATAACCTGTCATGTAAAATCCGTGGTTAATAAAGAGACATCACTTTGTAATGGCTGCTGTGGATTGATGGTAATTGTGAACTGAAACAGTGCACATGCTTGATGAGAGCAGACATCAATCAGACATACAGCGGCGCACAATGTCAACTTTATTTGTACGAGGTGTAACACTAAAATCGGACGACGTAAATGAATTCTTATTTTTCTCACGTTTGGAAAGGAATCATCCAATTTCTTTTAACAAAACGCCTCCGAATAGTAAATCGGAATTTGCATTGTGAGGCAAAGCTTTCAGCCCAGCTTTCTCCCTGAAAGAAAAAAAATAATACACATCTCCATCGATCTTCCTCTTTAACTGCAATCCTGGACCTGGAAGAAACCTGCAAACTCTCCCCCCGGGTGAAAAACAACACGAGAACATTGCCCAAGAGTGCGCCGAGGCCCCTCACACCCCAGTCAGGCTTTCATTCAGGGTGGAGGTGTGGTCGATCACGCACAGCTGCCTCTGGTCGCGGCGGGCCTGTCTGGAGCGCTGGTGCAGCAGGAAGAGGCGTTTGGCGGCAGCCCTGTACTTTCGGGACATGAGGTTGTAGACGACGGGGTTGATGGAGGCGCTGAGGTAGCAGAGCACCATGGAGGCCATGTTGAAGTTCTGGCTCAGCATGGCCGTGTCGTAGTCGTCCACCTGGGCGAAGAGGTTCCTGCCGATGTGGTAGGGCAGCCAGCAGATGATGAAGGCCAGAACCACCACCACTGAGCGAGAGACAAAGTCAAGAGAGGGGGATCATTTTTATTACAAGGCGGATTTGGGGAGCAGCTCGGAAATGACGCTTTTCCCCCTATTTGCTAAGAGTTGGAGGAGACGATTTATGCCGAATTCTCCATTTGCTTAATCCTAAAACGAATGCATCACACGAACAGACGGCTGCTTTGACATATGCATGTGGCAGTTTGCAAAAATATTGTTTCTTGTAATGTTAAAGGTCGTACTTTTATTTTATTTTTCAAAAGAGCCCTCACAAAGTAGCGAGATGATCAATACACCCAAAATGTGAAATAACACATAAATAATAGTATTCTTCTACGTCTGTTCTCTCCGGGTTAGTTTATCAAAAGACGCAGAAAAAAATAAATAAAGATAAATTGGTTTTGAGGATCATTAAGAAACACATGATCTATGGTCACCATTGACTTTTATTATGACCGGCAGCAATTACCATCAAAAGGGCTTCTCCTTCAACCCACGCAGCGACAAACACGCTCGCACCACCTGCACGGTCTCCGTGAGTGACGGTGGCCTCCAATTGGCCCCAACAATTAAGTGACACAATTCACATTTCAGAGCAAGTGAGCTGAGTGGAGCATTTATGCAGCAGAAACACGTCACAAAATCAAAAAAGTACAGAGGTTTATTAGGCTTCTACAAGCCAGAAGTCTCTGGGGAAGCTAATCACTGAGTCACTGGAATTGATCAAGAAGCCCCCGCAAATAAATCACCATCACTGAGTCCGATGGGGGCAGTCATTTCTATAAGGATGACAAATGTCTGTTCAGTAATTAAAAGAGGAGTATATCTGGCTCCCCGGGAGCCTAATTATCGAACCAGCAGTCATCTATGAATTGAAGACCTACATGAAAGACTAACATTGATTTATGGAAGGATATGATGACGATCCAATTTAGGATTCAACAAATGTGGCTACAAATGACAGAAAGTCTAGCAACGTGAGCTCTGTGCACTGTGTGCTCGGCCAATGAACAGCAATAATATCATAATGGCTGCATCTGGATTGTCCTGACCACGGTCCTTCACTGCAAAACAGGGTTCCCTACGACCTGCAAATTGAACCAATCAGTGTGCGCAGGGACAGGAAATGATTAGCTTCAGACAAAACGCAATAAAAAATACAGCTGGATTTCATAGGACAAGGTTAGCTGCTCTAGGTTTTAAATGTCGAACAAATCAGTGCTTTAAGTATATGTGACAATTTGAATTTGAAATGTGGAAACACGCTCAATGTAGCGGAAGTGCAGAAAACGAGGAACCCTACATTCTTCATCCATCTGTCAGCCTGTTAGATTTTCCGCCTCTGCAACAATGAACGGCAAACCGACTTGGTAAGCAAGACGCATTTCTTATTTTTTTACCTCCAAGGAGAGTTTCACATGCTGTCATTCCTGCTTCTGAATCTGGAGTCCGGCAGTGGAGAGCAGAGACTTTTAGAAAGCATGGGATAAAAACACATGTATCTGCACTCACCCAGGATCTTCACTGTTTGCCTGTGTGATCTTTCACGGGCCAAAGCGCCTCGCAGGTCATTTTTGCTTTTCCACAACTTGCACCCGATGGAGCCGTAGAGGAAGATCAGGCAGAGCATGGGGCAGAAGAAGTAGGTGGTGGACACCCACAGCATGATGTGCAGCTGCCCGGAGCTGATGGCGTAGTTGGTGTGCTTGCACTGCCTGGTGTTGTAGTCTGGGTGTGTGTCGTTATCATACTCCACCCCGACCAGGAACAGCGTGGGAGCCGCCGACACCAGGGCGAAGGCCCACAGGGCCAGGATGATGTACTGGACCCGGCGCCTGGTCACCACCACCTTGCTCCGGAGGGGGAAGCTGATGGCCAGGTAGCGCTCGATGCTCAGGGCCGTGATGTGGAGGATGGTGGCCGACGTGCAGCCCTCAAAGATGTAGTGGTAGAAGCGGCACACCGGCTCCCCAAACAGCCACGGCACGTACTTCCACAGGCGGTACAGGTCAAAGGGCAGACAGAGGAAGATGACGAGGTCAGACACCGCCATGCTAGACAGGTACAGGTTGGTGGTGGTCTTCATGTCCTTGAAGTGCTGGATGATGAGGATGGTCATGGTGTTGCCCGTCACGCCGATGATGAAGATGAGGATGCAGATGACCGTGACGGGGATGAGGGTGGAGGTGGGGAACAGGGAGCCCTCGAAGTGGTGGTCGTCTATGTTGTACTGGTCCATTGCCTCCGCTCCAGGAGCATGAAGGTCCACCTGGGGTCGGGTCCAGGGCATTCCTCCCTCCGCTAAGGGCACTGCGGAGCGTCGGATCAGCACTGAACAAGCAGCTGAGGAGAAAAAAAGCGGAGACAACTTTGTTATATCTCTCTAAACTGTACATAATAACTACTTCACATTTCTTCTAACATGCGGTGGGGATTTTACAGTATTTGTTTTAATTCCAGGCAGCTGTTGGCTTCTATTCAATTATGCACGTTATGAACATCTGCTTGTGGCGGAAGCTTGTTGCTAAATATTGCTAATTCACCTGGTAAATATTAAGTCTGCAGTTTATTTTTCACGATTACAAAGGGAATTTCCACTGATTTTCCTGTATATCCTTCCATCGAGAAATATAGATAAATTCCCAAGTTAGTCGGACACATCTAAATAGTTTACACAGAAATGTATGGAAATCAGTGTAAAATACATGCACATATATGTATATATATATATATATATATTCATTGCGTTGAGTATATATATATATATATATATATATATATGAAGGGAAAAGCAACAACAAATTCAAGTCAATATTATATCAATATTAGGCAAAAGCAGGTTGTAGTGAAAGGGCAAAACCACTGGAGTGATGCCTTCACTTCAAATATAAACACACAAAATAACATCCTAGCTTGAAATAAATTGCTCGTAACTTTACCTTTAAAACTGAGCTGAATCCCTCAAACCTTTAAACTTTTTTGGGTCTCTGTTGTGTGTCGTTGGAGAGCAGCAGCAGCAGCGGCGGCAAAGAGAGAGTCTCGTGAAGTGGCAGAGCCGGTCCCTGATGCTCAGAGATCAGTCGAGCTGTGGTGACGAAGCAAGGAGCACCTCCTCCACACTACCATGTGGAGTCAGGGAGCACCAGGGGGGTTGTCTGCTGTGTGTGTGTGTGTGTGTGTCTAAGTAGTCTTTAATCAAATGACGAAGGGACAGATGATGGTGAAAGTCACAAGAGGGAAACAATACGATTTGAAGGAACCTTTCCCACCAGCTCTGCTCCTCTGGGAGAATAAATGCAGATTGAGGATCATACTAATCGGGACTGAGGACAAATACGAAAGACGCACACATATAAAAGGGGTGCAGCTGTATTAACTAATGCACAGGCCTGTGATGTCCAAGGGTGTTTGCCAAGCTGTCTGGTAGAAGTCACTGAAAACCAAGTTGCGTGTTTGAGGAATTGAAAACCAGCCAAAACTGTCCGTCCTCTTGGCCTCATGCCGTCACGAACCAACCTGCTCATCTCCTCCTCTTCACCCTCACGTTGTCTACCAGGCTCGTCTTAATGAACTGCTACGCTGCTGGTTAAGAAGAATGCCTCCTTAAGAAATTACAGTTTAGTCAGAGCTTTGAGGGGTAAATAGGGACTTAAAAGGTCAAAAGTTGTGTGAGTTCTTCGACCTGGTTCACAGTTCTGCGTTTCAATATTAAAGTACCAGCTTTGGTTAAGTGTAAGTACACAGTGTTCTTGACTTTGCATCCCAATGATTTACAAATTCTGAGGTTTTCAGCTCGATTTCATTCATTGCGTTGAGTGTTTAGAGCTCTGCAGATCAGTTTGACCACTAGACAGCACGCCGGACTAGTGGGTTGCGAGTAGAAAGGTCATGAACCTGGACTGCAGGTTATTTTTCACTTCCCGATCTACAGGTTTTTCTGTATTGTGTCCGAGGAAACAATGGTTGCCAAAAGCCCGGCAGACCTGCTGGGTGGCCAGCGGTGTTGGTTCAGAACAACTATTTCAACTTCCTGAACCTTTTGAGGCAAAGAGTCCCACTGACATCGGGGTGTTTTTGCATGTTTACACTGAGCTGACCCACAGCCGAATGCATCACTTTGGCCCTCGGAGCGGCGGCGGGAATGTCCCTCCTCCACCATTGTTTACTCCTGACAAAGCAACACGGCGACGACAGCTTGTTTGCACTTTCTTAGTTTTTTTTAAATTATAACTTGGCAGTCCTTCACTGAACCAGAGCCAATGTTGCACGCTGAAACGGTGACGGAGGCGAGCCCCCTTTTTTTTTTCACCCTGGTGAATCATTGCTCACTTAGGCGGTGAGCAGGCACTCTTCCATCTTACTCCAGAGGCTTTCTATTTCACAATGTTTGGGGAGCGGACCCGAGGAGAGAAATGGATGGGAGCTTTTTTGCATTTGCTATACAATGCTGGTCTCCTAGCAACGGAGATGACCTTTACACAATGAAAGCAGCCGGCAGGGTCATCGCATTTACCTGTCGGGACATCGCGCACTGTGCACAGGATGCAATCCGGGATGTGGAGCTCGTCTTATTTGTTGTGGTAGAAGGTTTTTAGGCTTTAGGTTTAACTAAAATATAGTAAATACATCGGTTTCCTAGGGGAGAGGTGTGCTTTTTAATTTTGCCCCCCGTGAATACTTAAAGACAAAGCAGAAGGCCACCGCTGCTTGGTGTCTCCCCCGAGAGCGTTACAGCACTTATACCACCTACTTGTTTCCAGTGAGTGTGTCTGTTTTACCGGAGTAGATTATGGAGCCTCAGCACGCAGCAGCTAAGAGAAGTAATGTTGTTATCAATTAAGGCGGCAAGTAACACTTATTTTTATGGGGAAATAAGCTGCTATTTTATCTGAAATATTTTCTGTTAATGGACATTGATGTAAGCAGATGCCTAAATTGTTTAACCTGGCAGCCAATAAAAATTATTTAAAGTATTTAATGAGCAATCAAAAGTAAAACATATGGCAGAACTTCAAACACGATTAAGAATTATAAATCTTTTATTGTGCATGGATCCTTTGTAGATATCATGGCTATACAGATACACTTCAGATACATAACTATGATTATACATTTTTCCCATAACGAACATTTTAAAGTGATATGTCTGGTAGTATGTATAGTATAACAAATTTTCATTTTGGAATGTACGGTGTATGAGGTAACTGCAAACATTCAAATTACATAAATATGGTCTCTATTTTTGTGCATATTTTACTCATTTTGTCAATCTCCCCAACCAAAGGTGGTAAAGCCCAGGATGGAGAGGTGTTAAAATGGCACACGTTGCAATCGCTATCAAAAATAGGAATTTGATTTCTTTAAATGACGAGGAGAAGACATCTGCAGAATGCCCGAAAGACCAAATCACGTAATTATCCGGGACGTTTTGCAAGGTACCTGTATTTCATTTTTACAGTTGTAACAACAGTTATCTGCCCCAAAAACCAGACAGCACTAGAGCCTACAGCCAGATTACCACTGAAAACTCAGCGTCAGATATCCGTCACGAATACTTAACACACAGAGAAAAGGCAAATTTAGATTCACAGGAAGTACATGATATAACACATTTTTGTATTTGCCATTTGCGTTACATGATTCATGAGTACTCAGGATTTATTATTTTCTCTGGAGAGTATTAACTTATATTACTTCAATATTATAAAAAAATATACTTCACACATGTATGACCGGACAAAAGAAATCAAAAGAAATCACAACACATAGAACTACTTTGCATTTCTCTCCCGATTACGTATGGTTACTAACATCAAATAAGTGTTGCAAAAAAAGAAATAGCGTAAATAAAACGCATTTTAAAGTTTACACTTAAAAGAAAAGAAACAAAAAAACTTAACTTAAGAGAAATTAAGAAAATTCTCCCGAGATTTTTTTTCCTCTCCAATTAAGGCCTCTGAAACAACTGGTACAGACTTTTTTTTGTTTTTTTTTAATTCTCTTTTTTTGTTTTTGCTGAGAATATCAGCTGTTTCAGTGACACATTATGTGGTACTACAACTTTTAAAAACACCCAAAACACATGTAGGGTTGCACAATCTCAAAGTGTTTTCTATAAAATGCATCACAAGACCAAGACGCACGCAGCCAGTCGAGGTTTTCTTTCACTAAGGTGCAAAATCAATTACTGGGGAAAAACAAATAAAACAAAAACATACAGGTAAGCATACATTTTTTGTGCTGAACAACAATATTTCAGAGTAAAGAAGCAGTAGAACTATATGATAGTAAAAATAATTAGAATCCGCTGTTAGTTTGGTTGGTTGTTTGTTTTCTAACCTTATATTGATCCCCCCCCCCCCTCAAACTTACAGGTCCTTGTGTCGTCACTGTACAAAAATATACTAACATTTTCCAGTCATTTTTGCATCCTTAAACATTCTGAACATCAAAAATTTTGGAAAGTGCTAAATGAACGCTCTATAGTGTGAACAAGATTCTTGCTCCTGTTTCTTCTCGCATTAGAATCCTTAAACTTCAGCAGGGGGTTGAGTCCCTTCGTCTAGCCCTGAAGCCTTCCCAGCCGTGTACCTCTGTGGACTACATACAGTATACACATCTGGACACATCTGCAAACACTGGCCCTCCAGCTCCCAGGATCAAACCGCACATTGGCTACAGACTCACCTACATACTATTTCTACTATCTAAAGCGGTTTCATACTGGGTACATAAATGGAAATATAAATAACGACTATCTCTATACATATAGATATATCTATATATATATCCTGTTATCGACGAGGACGAGAGTCGAAGCACCTCTCCCTCACCTTCTCCCCATAATAAACCATTTCTCCGCACTTTCTTTTGCGTTGGAAGCCGTCCACGATGAAACAAACACCACAAAACTGGGCCCCTGTGACCAGGAGTCACGTGTACCAAGTAATGTGTTGTATCCTCCAGTTTCAACTTACACACTACCCCTCCCTCCATTCCTTCGCACCACAATGCAGCTAAACGGGATTACTCTGTTGACAGCAGGTGGGGGCAAGAAGGGACGTAGGGGGGCAGGAGGGCAAAAGACATAAAAAACAAAACAAAAGGTACAAAACGGAGAATACAAAACAACATAAAGAGAGGGAAAGAATAAAGCTATAACCTTGCAGCTGGGTGGTGCAAACTGCTCATTTAATGACAAAGTACTGGATGACAAAAGCGATGAGGATGGCGATGACGGCAAACACCATGAGGAGGAGGAAAGCGCACTGCTCGTCCGTCATGCTCCGCCTGCTCCGGTTGGACTCAACGCCGGCCCTGGAGCCCGAGGCGGACGCGCCGGCGCCCACCGCCACGTCGCTCCGCTGGGGGGAGAGGGTCACCGTGGGGCTGTAAGGGCCGCTCAGCTCCGGGGCGTCCTGGCACTGCCTGATAGCGCACACCCTGAAGCGGTAGTCGCTGTTGGGCTGCAGGTTCTGAACATGGAAAGATGTTGCGGAGCCTTTGTAGGCCTGTGAACGAGAGGGCAGAGAAGAAGTAGTGTGATTTAAAACAAAGATAAACGTGAACTTTGATTAATTAATTATCGGTCTCATCTTAAGCCCTAACATTTATGCTCATACGTCACTGAGGGAAGGCTGTAGTTAAGCTGCTTCAAGCCATCCTTAGTAGAATTTAGGTTGTATTGCTCAATTTAACTTCTACTGGAAACTAAAGCCGACAAAAAGATTTTCATCTTCCTTTCTCAGCCTAAATGGATGAAATTGCCTTGCGGCTCATTCAAGCATATTATGGGCAAAACAACAAGTTACGCATCCCTCACTTACAGAATGATTTATTTCAGAGTTCGTTGTCAGCGTGCATGAAGGGGGAAGCCAGCTGCCTTTGCCGTTTACGCAGCTGACACACCCACTCGTTTCTAGACAGACGCGAGTTTCTCTTTGGTTGCTTTTAAATTATTACAGCAAACCTAAAAATATATTAAATCAATTCTTAATTCATATTGCTTGGAAATAAGGACATAAATAAAGAAAAGCAAATTCAAACCACCAGGAGAAAATAAAAGTTGCGTATATAGCAGCCAAACTACACTAGCCTAG